ACAAAAGGATGTTCTTTGAATCGAGAAAACAAAAAAGGTAAGTATTTAAATGAATTTCCTTTTTAGTAGTGTCGATGGTAAAAATAAATCAAAAAATAAATTCTAAAAAATCAACCAATAGAATCGCTAGAATTCTTCTGAGAAGGGCTGTGTGAGTGCCACGTGTCAAAGTGACTTCTCTTTTAATGTATAGGGGGATATGTGAAAATTTTAATACTAATTACTTTGAAACAAATAAAATCTATTACATATTTCACATATACCATAAACTCCAACAAAAATCGTCCATGTAAAGTGTAAAAACACGATTATCCCTATCATCCTTAATGGGTTTCTTAATAATTTTTAATAAAATCAATCTAAGAACTTTAATTAATAAATTTCCATTGGATAAAATGAGAATTTATTAATTAAGAGTTCTTAAAAAAACTAAACATTTTTAAAGAGAAAAAATATTTATTAAATAAAATATATTATAAGATAATATTTTAAACATAATATTTTTAAAAAAAAAGAATAGAAAAACAAAACTTAATACGATAAACGAGAATAATTCGAAAAAACATCCGAGCTTAGTAGTTGTTTCTATCACGTCCAAATATATGTCATATATGTTCAACCAAATCATAATTTAGTTGTTGATGCATTTGTCTATCATGAATTTTAGTTTAGATATCCATCTTATTGACAATATTTGTAGGGAATATGATATATGCTCTCATAATCTTGCCAATTCTGACAAGAGTGATGAATGAGAGAAGATGAGTGATGAATGAAGAAGTTAAAAAATGAGAGAATTGCGTGATGAATGAAGAAGAGTGTTGTGTTGTGAATAAAAGTTTGGTATACAAAGTTTATATAGACAAGACTACAAGAGTTCACAAGTACAAAGCTTGGTGGAGATGATATAGTTTCTAACTCTTGTGTGGAGATTTCAAAAAAGGTAAGAATACACAGCTATTTTCCTAGGATAATAGAGATGATATAGTTTATAAGAAAAAAATGGAAACCAATAAGAGATTTTTACGTATAGCATAAATAGAGTGAATTTTTTTGTAGGTAAAGAGTTAAGACACGACACCCAACTTAATGATTTACCAATTCTTGAAGAAAAGTATGATACTCAATCGAGCCAATGTATGGAAGATATGTGATGGTATTATGTTGAGGTAGTTTGGACTATAGATATTTTCACATTTTTGATGCACTATTTAATGATACATTGCAAAATTCAAAAAAAAGAAGATAATTATGTCTATTTGAAATTCGATTGGTCTAATATTGTGTGAGATATTTAGTTACAAAAAGAGATTGCATTAATAATCAACTTAAATAAGAACATGATTATCCCTATCATCCCTAATGAGTTTCTTAATGATTTTTAATTAATAAAATCAACCTAAGAATTTTAATTAAGAAATTCACATTAGAAAAAATGAGAGTTTATTAATTAAAAGTTCTCAAAAAACTAAACATTTATTAAAGATAAAATTGATTTATTAAATAAAATATATTATAAGATATATTTTAAACATAGATATTTTTTTTTTAATAAAAGAATATAGAAACAAAGATTAGTACGATAATCGAGAATAATTCGAAAAAACATCCGAGCTTAGTAGTTATTTCGATCACATCCAAATTTACGTCATATATGTTCAACCAAATCATCTTTTAGTTGTTGATGCATTTGTTTATCATGAATTTAGTTCAGATATCAATCATATTAGCAATATTTGTAGGGAATATGATATATACTCTCATAATCTTACCAATTTTTACAAGAGTGATGAATGAGAGAAGATGAGTGATGAATGAAGAAGTTAAAAAATGAGAGAATTGCGTGATGAATGAAGAAGAGTGTTGTGTTGTGAATAAAAGTTTGGTATACAAAGTTTATATAGAGAAGACTCCAAGAGTTCATTGGTATACACTATTCTTGACTTGTAGTAGTTAAACCGATAATAGTCGATTGGTCTATATTATGTAATATACCCTTAAAATCCCAGCCCAAAACGTCAATTCTAAGCCCAATATAAAACCTAACCCTATTAAACCCATGTAAGCCCATTTATTCAGTCAGATCAAAAAAAGAAAAAAAGCATCCTCCATGGCTTGAACAAAAAGAAAAGTTCCTCACTGCTCTCCTCTCTCTATAAACCCTCCTCTAACCACTTCACAAAGAGCAAGCAAAGAAAGAAGAAAACCAAAAAAATGTTCAGGAACCAGTACGACACAGACGTCACAACATGGAGCCCAACGGGCCGTCTCTTCCAAGTAGAATACGCCATGGAAGCGGTGAAGCAAGGCTCCGCGGCCATCGGACTCAGATCTCGCTCCCATGTGGTCCTCGCATGCGTCAACAAGGCCCAATCTGAGCTCTCTTCTCACCAGAAGAAGATCTTCAAAGTCGATGACCATATAGGCGTCGCGATCGCTGGGCTGACCGCTGATGGACGTGTTCTCTCTCGTTATATGAGATCGGAGGCGATTAATCACTCGTTTACGTATGAGTCTCCGCTTCCTGTGGGAAGGCTCGTTGTTCATCTCGCTGATAAGGCTCAGGTTAATTGAGATTTGGAATCGATTTGATTTTGATTTTGTTGTGTCAGTTACTGAGCTTAGAGTGTGATTAGTCTTTGATGGTTTGGATTAGGTTAATTGAGATTTGGAATCAATTGATCTTGATTTTGTGTGTTTTAACAATAGCTAATTGGATTTGAGCTTAGGGTTTCTAGAATTGATTTGAGCTTAGGGTTTCTAGAATTGGTGTATTTGTATTGTGCAAGTGGTGATTATTTTGTGATGATTTGGAATTAAGTACTTGAGGAGCTTAAGAGAAAGTATGGTAGTGATATGGGCTGATTAGGACTTTTTTAAGAGCTAATAGTGTTTAACAAGAAGCTTCCTTGATTTAGCAGATACTAAGTTGCTTCCTTTACTAAATCATTCACTCTAGCAATACGATTCTAGAGGGATTTGGTGTTCTTCTGATACTTTTACTTGTTTCTCTAGTTGCCATTAAGAGAATTGATTTTGGTCTTTGTCACCCCGGTCATTACCTTTGCTAGAGCCTAGATGTTGGTCTACAAATTGCCTATAGTAATTAACTATATACATTCCACTTTCTGTTTTGCGTCTAGCTTATGTTTTTTTTGTTTGGATATCTTGTAGCTTCGTCGTGCAGTTTTCTTATGTTGGTAACATGATAATGTACTATTCATATGATACAAAAGCTTCTGGCTTGAATTGGTGATAAATGAACTTGTTTTCCAGTAGAATATCCTGCAAATTTCTAGTAGTTCAAACCTTTGAAGCATACAACTGTGTGCTATATATTACTTTTGTTAAAGTGTAATACTGATTTTCTTTTGTATTCCATCTTTCATTTCTTTGTTTGTGACAAGCCACTGGGAAGAATTCCCCTCCCATAAACCATATGTATTGTTAAAAGGCATTGTCTTATATGTTCCTTTTTTTCACTGGATTTACTCGAAATAGCATGAAATTTTTCACTAGAGAAGTCCAACTAAAATTACATTAAATATCATTTTCCTTCAGCTTTAGTAATTTTTTTTTGATACTTCTCGACCTGCAGAAAGGAATAATTGTGTGTTTGTTCTGGTTATGAACAGGTCTGTACCCAGCGGTCATGGAAACGTCCCTATGGCGTGGGTTTGCTGGTAGGTGGATTGGATGAGTCTGGAGCCCATCTTTACTACAACTGCCCAAGCGGGAACTACTTTGAGTATCAAGCTTTCGCTATTGGGTCCCGTTCACAAGCCGCAAAGACCTATCTGGAACGTAGGTTTGAGAGCTTTGGGGATTCTTCAAGAGAAGATCTGATAAAAGATGCTATTCTGGCTGTGAGGGAGACACTGCAAGGAGAAACACTGAAGAGTTCTCTCTGCACAGTCTCTGTTCTAGGTGTCGGTGAGCCGTTCCACTTCTTGGACCAGGAAACTATTCAGAAAGTGATTGACACATTTGAGAAAGTAGCAGAGGATGAGGAAGTTGAGGCTGGTGATGGTGAAGCTGCTGTTGCACCAGCAGAAGAGGGTGGTGATGGTGGTGCAGGTGCAGGTGACCAAGATGTTGCTCCAATGGAAATGTAAGGCTTTGTGTGTAACGCTGCAACTGTTTTAATTAAATGTTGGATTTACTTTGGATAATTTCGTATGAATCATTTGCAAATCGCTGCGGCTTTTAGATCATATGCTCGAAAACCTAGTGGAGTTAAAATCATTTGGTCATTTTAATATGATGCCGTTGAGACTCTGTTTTTATCATTTGGTTATTTGATTTAATTCTGTTAACGGCTTCCTATCTAATTCGTACCATTTTTCTAATTTGGGTCTTGCACATTAAAGTAAGCACACAACAATACACGTTAAAGAATGTTTTATATACTGATTCACGCTCAAACCTTTTTGTAAAAGCTAGAACGGCCTTACTGACCACCTGTCCTGAAAGATGGACTTACAATAGAGTTCTTCATTCCGCCAAGAAGGGCCTGAATGAACTGTAGGAAAACGTACAAACGTTTATGTTGGCTAGGGTCCTTGAAAAGGGAGTCATGGTGGTTTCTCTAGCGTGTCCCATCATTTTTCTAGTTTTGAAGTAGCTAAAGAGCAACAGGTTTTCAAATTTAGCCAAAGGCGCTGCTAGTGTGCCGGCGTGCCGCTAGCGAATAAACCATGTGTGGGAGCATGGTGGAGTAGCATCTCTAACCCATCCTTATATTTGGTTTTATAATAGCTTTTAGAGATAAAATTAGTTCATCTCACTTCTATTTCTTCTTTTAAAAAGATAAATACTATTTTTATCACTATTTATAGAGAAAGATATAGTAATCTTCTATTTTTTGCTATATATTTAGAGATTGCTATTTTAAAAAAAACATTGAACAAATCATATTTATATTATAGAATTCTTTTATTATAGAGAAAACTAATTAAAAAAACAAATAGTATTCTTCTATTTTTTTTAATATTTTTACGACAAAAAAAGATGCCAAGGCTCCAAACTCCAAGAACTGTTTCTAGAGAATAATTTAATTATGATGCAGACCTATTTAACATATATTGTAAACTAATGATTTTCTTATATAAATTTAAGTTTAATTTAATTTAATATATTAATTTTGAATATATATATATATATATAATATCGATTTTTAATAATATAAATCATAAAATGAAGTTTAAATTATTAAATTGTAAATGAATTAATATTGACAGTAGATGTTATATGTTTCTGTTTTAATTATGCTAAGATATTAAATAAATTTACATGATATTTGATCAAAAACTGTAATGTATAGATAGGATTGCTTGGTTATTGTTTGATGAACTATTTTTTGATATACTGATGTATTTAATAATGTCTTTGTATAGGTAATTGTTTTATTCTTCAAACTTCTGACAATGTTTATTCTAGTATTTTTTAATAAAATTTTGTTTTTGATGTTGAAGCGGATAATATTTTTCTCCAATTTACTGAACAAAAAATTATAAAATATCATACATGTTAATTCAAATTTATATAACTTTATATTTATTAGTTTTTTTTAAATTTTTAACTTTTTGAAAAAAAAATTTATATTTACTTTTGCCAACAAGCGTATATTAAAGTATAGTGTATATTAAATTTTGTAATCATTCATAACTACAATAATTGTAGTACACTGAGTCTATAATACTTGATAGTTTTAAACAAAATTATATACTGAACTTTTTGTAAGTTTACACGCATTACAGATGCTTGTATGACATTTTGATAATTAATACAGTTTTGATTCTTGAATAATTATAATAAACATGTGATAACATTTGGTGGGGATTATTGATTCCACTATTTTAATGGATTTAGAAAAACATTTGGATTTAGAAATCTTTGATAAATCATATGATTTAAAATCGAGCAAATAGATTTAAGAATCAAAGATATTGATTTCAAAATAAAAATAGCTTTTTGCGAAAATCAAGGATATCCAAATCTTAATAAATCATATGATTTTAAAATAGAGAAAATAGATTTAAGAATCAAAAATGTTGATTTCAAAATATTTTTTTTTTTTTACCTTCCATTTTAGAATTGTTGTGTAATTTAGTTTTTCCTCGTTTTGATTTGACTCTTGTTGGAGCCTTTTCTTTTCTTTTAAACTCTCATTTTACGGAAATCTTTTGTAAATCAAGGATATTGATTTCAAAATAAAAATAGATCTAAGAATCAAGAATATTGATTCTAAAATCGAGCAAATAGATTTAAGAATCAAGGAAATTTATTTAGATATTTCATATTTAGAGATATGAAAGTTATCATCCATCTTGAAGAATAGGTTGAAAGTGAGAAAGTATTTTTTTAATTTACTGGACTAAAAATATTTATTAAAATCATATCATTTTTAAAAATCAATAAAAATTCAAATAAAATAAAAGATTTTTATAATTGGACCTAAAACACTTTCAACAAATGATAGAATGACAAGTATCATCTTTTGCCTCTATGAAGAGAAAAAAAATCTACTATATTATATAAGAGTTATAAATATTTTATAAATAATAAATCATATATCACCATTACAATATAAATGCATATATAATATTAATAAAAAATAAACTAAATATAAGTACATTGTAAAAAAAATCACATTAACTTATATATATCATTTGTTCATAGATAAAAATATATATTTAAATTATTTGTAAATTTAGGTTAAAATAGAAAACTAAAAAAAATAATAATGAAATAGAAAATTTGTTTTAATTAATGTTTAATTTTTTATTAGCATTTATTGGTTCATTAAATAAATTAAAATTTGTTAAATATAATAAATATAAAATATCATTAAAAGAAGGTGATACATAGCATTTTTCCCCCAAAGAAGTGAAAAAACCAACTTTATTATATAAGATAATCTTTCTTTGAACCTACGATTCATCTCTTACTCATAACCGATAATAATAAAACTTCACATTTCTAACCTTGAGTTTCCTTAAATTGCTGCAAATAGTTCTAACTTTCACAAGATACACTAATACATATAGCTAGTCGAAGTTTCGTCATAGATTTGAACATAATGTTGAATAATAGGATCGACGGACTATTTCTCCACAAAACTATAACATCAGATGTCTACCAAAATATAATTACGTTCTATATATATCTGAAATAATAGTTCCAAACTTAATTCTCATTTCTTTAAATTTTGAGATCTATAAACCTATAAACCATATTTAATTGGTTTACTGTTTTTAAATTAATTAGTGAATCATTTTAAATTAATACTTAACCAAATTAAGACCCAAATAGATCCAATTAAGAATCTAATTTTATCCATATTTTTTATAGATCTAATTTAGGTCTGATTTTTAGTTAAATATCGATTTAAAATGGTTTATTATTTGATATAAAAACAGTAAACCAATAATAATCATGGTTTATGGGTTTTCAGATTTCGAATTTTAAAAACGTGAGGATATAAATAAGTATAAAATTATTGTCTCATGGATAATTAAGTTTGAAACTATATTTCGGTGACATATAGAACACGATCTAGTTTGAAAACATTTGGTGCTATAGTTTTCATGGGAAAATAACTCACTAACCCTTAATATTATTAACACTTTGACATCATTTTGATCAAAAGAAATATGTAAGTGGATCCTCTACATGGTAACAACTACAAAAACATAGGACTATAAAATATAGGAGTGAACACATAACAAATATCTATATATTTGGAAGTATTTGTAATCTAATATGCTTAATTTAAATATTTGGTGTTAGGATATCTTGATTTATATACTTTTAACTAAATATTTGATTAAAACTAATATAAATTGAAAATAATATAAGTAAGAAGTATTTTATTTAATAAATAACATATTACTTTTAATTTTATTTATAACCAAATAATTAATGTAATAAATAAAATACATTAAAACTTACATATAAATATAGTAATGCCCACCCCTAATAGGATGATGGGAACCATGTAACCACATCCATTGACTTTTCCGGCTTTCTCAATCATTTGTTTAGCCACCAACTCGTCGATTATCCATCAAATGAGATTTAATCAGAGTTTTATAATTTGTATTTTACAACTTAGTGGATCATACAAAATTATATTAACAAAGAACAAGTGTTTTGTATGTATGAAGCCAAGAGACTAAACATATAAAACAACGTCCAATCGATTGAAAATGATTCTGTTTTGGATGGTTCTATCGCAAAGATATTTGCAAATTTTTAACAAGAAAAAAAAAACATATTCTCCCAGAAATTGTATATGAAATTCAAGAGCGTAATAATGATTTTTTTGGCGATATCATCGCATAACTACAAGTTTACTATAGTTTTCTTGGGACAAAGAAGATTATTATCAACGTAAGAAAATTGAGATATATGAGATGTAATTTCATAAAGATGTTTTAGTTTGTTAATGAACTTTTTCTACAGGTGTTTTGAAATATCTAAAATGCAGAAACCGCATCAGAAACATTTGTAATTTTCGTTGCATTCAAACGTATCATATGAGCAAACGCATGTATTATTTTGACCAAACGAACAGCATCTAATTCGTTTACAGATGTTAGTTACATCCGAATTCAAAACGCAAATAGCACCAAATATGGATTTTGAAATAGTCACCTGGACCGATGACGAAACAAGAATGTATCAAACCGGACCAAAAAATTCCCAAACAACAAGCATCCTAACCACCAGGGACGAATCTAGAAGTTATTGTGATCTGCGGCATACATATAATTTATCAACAATATCAACAGGGGCATTTGTTAATTTTTTTTAAAAAAATACACTGAAATTTTAAAAACTATGGTGCGCAACTGCCCACCCTTTGTCTATGTACCTTAGCCACTGCTAACCACCATCCTATTGATTTAACATTTCGACCAAAACATCAACCATCCTAACCACCGTGTATATTTTAATCTAACAACTTATATTGAATGATTGACTTCATGCGAGAATATTAAAACTTACAAATAAAATACAATAAAGAAGGAAGAAAGTGTTGAGGATGTCATGCAAACATGGCCAGCTCAAGGTTTACATTGTAAGAAGTTGTCTTCTTCGCAACCTATTTTTGTATTTTCTGCTTTATTATTAAGGATATTGGTTAGGAAAAAAAATCAGAATTGTGTTGAGAAATGAAAGGAAGGGCCTACGTAATGATCTTCTTCTTCTGGGCTCTTCTAACGATTATCACCCCAATGCTAGTTAGCTGGTCTCAGGCTCTCAAAGGTAATACTCTTAACATCAAGCTCCATTTATTGGTCAAGAAAGTGAACGTTTTTGGTTTCTTCTATATATAGTGGTTTCAAAGAGAAAGTATTGTAAATGCATTATCATATTCAAAATTTTATACTGATATTTCAGAACATAAGAAAAAGGATTCCGGTCCAAGGCGAATGATGGGATATTCAGCAGAAATGGTTTTGACAAGAGAGATTGTTGAACGCTTAGAAGAAAAAGAAGAGTTGAAGATGAACCAGTCAATGGCGCCAACTCCTGAAGATCGCCCTATTTTACCTTCCACGAATCAAACTTCAACGAGGATAAAACAACAAGAAAGATCAGTCACTAAACATAAACATCCCATGAGTTTGCGATAAATTTCTTTGAATATTTTCTTTTTATTTGTCTATTTCAGCACAATATTTAACTTTGTTCATAAGCATTCTCGGTTTGTTTTTGGATATACGAAAGTTAATGCTGGTGAGAGCAGTTAGTACATATGTTAAATTGGCTTTCGTTTGGAAGAACTTTATGTTTCTACGTTCTTATTGGTAGAAAGAACACAGAAAATGATTATTGTGTAATTAGTTTAGTACTAACAAACAATAACGAGTTGGTGAAAAAAACATACAAAAAACGGGGAAATTGCTTGAAATACACTAACTTAGATATCACTTTTCAAAAATATATTTAACTAAAAATATTATGATATTTAAATATAGGGTTTAGTAATTATAGTTTAGAGTATTAGAAAATGGGATTAGTTTTATAAACTTCTTTTGAATAATTCTCAAATATTTATGAATGATTAAAAATAAATAATTTTATTTTTATAATAAATTTAAAATAGTTATAAAATAATATTATTTAAAAATAAATGTGAATAATTAGAACTGAGATAAATTTAGAATTTCTCCTAGCTCACACCACATGAAATTTTACCAAACATCAAGGATGATTTTTAGTCAACCTGGTGATCTGATTGTGACGAAACATACTTAGGACATCTTCAACAAGATATCAAAACATTAGATTTGGTAAAATTTCATCTCCAACAAGACATCAAAATTAACATTATGTCATTAAATTTGGTGTAATATTGGTGTAACACTATTCATCATAACAAATATTTAAAATACATATTTTATTATATTTCATTTACTAATATAGTTTAAATACTGTCAAATTTGCAATTAAACATCAATAGATTATATTAATTTTATTTTATTTTTAATTATTTCATTTTCACATAATTAAAAAACTAAAATTTTATGTTTTCAAAGCAAAACAGTAAATGACTATTATCTTTTATCACTTACGAATAATAATAAAAAAAAAAGAATTCAACTGTGATAGAATAATAATTATAAATAACAAAACTATACAAAAAGTAAATTAAAATTATTAAATAATGGGGGTTTTGCAAAACCAACCCAAAAATTCAAGTCAAACACAAAACCAACCTCTTTTTTTTTGTCATTGCTATTCATTCTTAAAAAACCTAAACTTTCCTCATGTTTCTACCTATTTACCAAATTGCCATTATTATTAAATCTGATATTATTTTCGAAAATTATTAAAAACCTATTACACCCTAAACATTTCTCCTTATTTACCACAATGCCATTGTCATCAATATTTACAACCACCAAAAATCACCATTGATGAGCTCTTTAAGCTTGTGTTTATGAATTTTCAACCACTTATTTCACTTTCTAAACAAAAATACTTCATTTCCTCTCATTTCCTCTCTATTTTCATCTAAACAATCCTCATAACTCTCATTTTCATAAACACAAACTTCATAGTTTCGATTTTATCCACAAGTGAATCGTAAAGGTTGCTTCTTTTGCTCATATTTGGATTCTGGACGGTGGAAAAGCTTGGAAACAAGCTTTAAACCGGTGTCAAGGTAACTATTTACATGCTTTTCGTCATATCTCTGATCTGTATCGCGAAAGTAGACTATATTATATGTCTGCACATACGTGTAGACTTATGATGCAGTCTACTTGTCAACGCACATGTTACTTTTGCAATTGACCAAAATATTTTTTTCCTACAAGTACGTCAACGTCTTTACCTTTGAAATCAAAAACAAAAAAAATTGGTAGACTTACTAAGAAATCTACATAAAACAGGTTAGATTTGCATTTGACCAAAATTTTGACTTACCATAGTAGACTTTCGTGGAGGTCTACACTTTGTAGACTGCTAGGTAAGTCTACGGAAGGTCAGTTTTGCATTTGACCAAAACTTTGACTTCGTTGAATAGGTTTCTTTTGTATTTGNAAAAAAAATTGGTAGACTTACTAAGAAATCTACATAAAACAGGTTAGATTTGCATTTGACCAAAATTTTGACTTACCATAGTAGACTTTCGTGGAGGTCTACACTTTGTAGACTGCTAGGTAAGTCTACGGAAGGTCAGTTTTGCATTTGACCAAAACTTTGACTTCGTTGAATAGGTTTCTTTTGTATTTGACTAAAATATTTAGAAGCTGACTAAAACTTACTTTACGTGTAGACTTCATATGCAGTCTACAAAACTTAGAAAAAAAAGTAGACTGCATAAGAAGTCTACTATTTTATGTTCGCCAATTGCAAAACTAACCTGTCGGGTTATAATGTAGACTTTTACTGCAGTCTACAGTTACGTAGACATTTAGTTTTGTCTACTCGTAGAAAGTCAACTTTGGTCAATTGTAAAACTAACCTCTTTCAAACAAATTTAAAAATGTAGACTGCATAATAGGTCTACTTCTAAAAGTCAAACTCTGAACGAATTCTGGTCAATTGCAAAACTAACCTTTTTAAAAATGTAGACTAAAAAGTAAGTCTACTCGTATAAAATCACATCTTTTTTCCAAATACAGAAAGTAACCCGTGAATTTGACAATTGCAGAAACCAACCTAAACGTAGACCTAATTTTCAGTCTATAGACTGTAAACTGAATAAAACGTCTACACGTCTGTAGACTGAATATGTAGTCTACCTAGAAAAATCTATCAAAAGTGGATTTGTGTATTATTCATTAAGTTTTTTCAAAACTTTTATTTATGAAAGTGTGTGTTAGTTAATCAAAAGGGTTTTGAATGATTTTCAGAAGATAATCTGTTATAATTAGGAAATTATCAATTTTTTTGTTTGTCTATGTTGTTAGCTTAAAATTTGTAGACGTACTTGTAAGTCTATGATATAATTTTTGGTTTAACTATATTGTTTGCTAATAATTGTAGATGTACTTGTAAGTCTATTTTATAATTTTATCAAACATGAAACTTTTGTTTGCTAATTATGTATTTTTTTTTTGTGCAGGAGATGGCTCAATTACTCATTGTATACAGAGAATGGGTGGTGAAAAACTCTAGATGTGTTAGTGTTATGTGTCGAACTTATGAGTTGTCTTATTGCTATGGATGTTCTATTATGTATTAGTGTCTCATTGCTTTGAGTTGTCTTCTATTGGATTTGTAGGTATTTAGTCTGTGTTGAACTTATAAACTATATTGCTGCTTTGGATGTTGTCTAACGTGATAAACTTATGTTATATTTTTCTCTGTCAAGTAGACTTCTTTGTAAGTCTACAAGAAAGAAATCTTATAAATTTTATTTATAAATTAAAACTAGTTTACAAAACTAAACCAATAATTAGAAACTAAAGTCAAACAACCACAATTTCTCCAACTTGGTTTACACCAAACCAAATCTTTAAAAAATTCTAAACCTAAAAAGATTGAAGACTCCAGCAGCTTCATCTTCTTCTTCCACCGTAAACTTCTTCAACAACTCAAGGTCTTCTTCCACTCTTCATGTCCCATCAACGAAGAATGGAGGTTAATCTACAGAAAACAAAACAAAAGAAGTCAGATTCAACAAAACAAATCAGAATAATATGGAAAAAAACGACCATAACTAAACTAAGAGTATGGTACACAGGACTTGACAGTGATTAATGGTCACTACATATCTGATTTCAGTCACATTAATTAAGATTAGAAGCTATGAGTAAAGCATGAAACTCACATAGATTTTCTCAATTAAAGTTCAATCTTTTTAATAATCAAAAAACACATCCTAACCACTCTTATAAATGATTCAACTTCAGAGAGTGAGTAAAACAAGCTTAAGCTAACCCAATGCATCCAACTATATAATAAAAAAATATATGTGTTTCTCTATACATAATCTAAGACAATGCATCCGAAAATATAATGAACAATCAATGTTTCTCTAAACAGAATTTGAAACCTAAAATAAACAATACACAAATCAAAATTTTAATAGATTTTTCTATGTAGACTGTATATTCAGTCTAAATTAATGTAGACCTATAAGACAGTCTACAAATCAGTAGTCTGCAGTAAAAGTCTACAAATCCGTAGCCTGCTGTAAAATTCTGGGAGCAACCTGCAACAAAAAGAGCCAGAGAAATCAATAAAACATAACACATGCTTGTACACTACAAACATGTATTAACTCATATCACTTCATCAATTTTCGTCAACGACATATGCATTTCAATTTACAGAAAATAAATTGACAATATACAAACCCTAGAACGAAAATTGAACACTTTAATCAAAACAATAAGAGATGCAGAGAGTCTTTATAAACACATATAGAGAGAGAGATAGGGAGGAGAGTAATGGTGATGACGAGGAGGAGATGAGGAGGAGACAAGGCGGAAAGTAATGGTGGAGATGAGGAGGAGACGAGGCGGAGAGTAATGGTGGTGACGAGGAGGAGATGAGGAGGAGACAAGGTGGAGATGGCTTAAGGATGGGAGAGGATAGTGGTGATGGTCGTGGTGGTGAATGGTGATTCCGAGAGGAAGGTGGCTGGGTGTGAAAACAGAGTCGAAGAGGGTTCGCCGGAAATCTCACCGGAAATCGCCCCTTAAACCGCCTCAGATCTAAATGGCATGATTAGGATTCTTTTTACCAGAAAACCTTAAAAAAGTATTTATATGCTGTGTAATTTTTTCAGTTAGGTTAGATTGGTTAATGTAGACTGAAATATACGTCTACATATAAGTAGACTTTACTGTAAGTCTACTATATCCTAAATATTGGCGCCAATATGGAAAAATAGGCTCCAAAATTCATTTTCACTTCCCGCTTAGTTAATTTTAATTTTTAAAATAATTTATTTTGGTAAACACAAATTAACGTAGACTGAAATAGACGTCTACATATAAGTAGACTTTACTGTAAATCTACTATACCCTAAATATTGGCGCCAATATGGAAAAATAGGCTCNGTTAATTTTAATTTTTAAAATAATTTATTTTGGTAAACACAAATTAACGTAGACTGAAATAGACGTCTACATATAAGTAGACTTTACTGTAAATCTACTATACCCTAAATATTGGCGCCAATATGGAAAAATAGGCTCCAAAATTCATTTTCATTTCCCGCTTAGTTAATTTTAATTTTAAAATAATTTATTTTGGTAACCTCAAATTAACGTAGGTAGAAATAGACGTCTACATATCAGTAGACTTAATTGTAAGTCTACTATACCCTAAACCAGAAATCTCAAACCCTAAACCCCAAATCTCAAACCCTAAATGTTTGATTGATTATAAAAAAAATCTTAGTCATTGTATCAAATATCATATATACAAAATATAAACTACTCAACATTAAATATGCAATTTTGAATCATTAAAACAAAATTATTCTAAATCTAGAATCTAACCCTAAGAATCTAACTCTAAAAGACATAACATGTTAGAACCTTTGGTTGCTAAACCATTAACATTGTCTACCACATAGTTCCCAAATCAATATACATTCTTTTAAATTGTTCAATTATAAGAAAATTTAATTTATATACCTTATACTAACCTTTAAATTGATGATTTATTAAAAAAATTACCAAAAATATTTTTTCTACATTTTTAAAATTAAATTCTTTGATTAAATTAAGATGTAGACTAAATAATAAGTCTACACTAGTCTACACAGTAGACGTTAATGTAAGTCTACCTAGTTGTAGACTTTTTTCTTAAAGTGTAGACCTACGGAGGACAGAATCGTAAAATATATTCCACGTTTTTTGTTTGTTCATAAGGGTTAAATAGTAATTTTAACTTCCATTTAGGTTGGATTTGCAATTGATTGAATATGAGGTACACCTTTAAGGTTAAAATGAATATTTGGGTTGGTTTTGGCAATTCCCCCTTAAATAATATATAATTTTTTTTGTATAAAATTTAATGTCATTGGAGATGACAAATAAATTATAACATTAATATACCAAATTTTATGTAACTTTAACATCAATTTGATGTATTTGTTGGAGATACTTTTAAGAAATTGATAAAGGAGTAAACTATAAGTGTTTATAAAGTTGTCCATGACATCTTTGGTTGCGTTCATTTAAGACTAGGTGTTTTGCCCGCACATGCGGGCTTAATTATATTTAAGTTAATTTAAAAATTATCAAAATAAATGATTATTTGCATCCAAATAATTCGACCTAAAACATTAAACTTTTTTACATTGATAAAGTTATTCACAAATTAAAAACAAATATTTGTTTTCCTTTAAAATTTTGAAAAATCTAAAGTCTATTTCATTTCTTCGTAATTGATAAAAAATATATAAAAATATAGAAATCTATCTTTCAATTTTAAAAATTGAATCGATAAATATACATTCAAAAATTGATCTTACAGAAAGAATAAAATTAGTTTGGATAATAATACAATATATTTGAATTTATTTTTGTCAAACACGTATTTTCTTTCTTTTTGAATGATCTTTTATTTTATATGATTAATTCATGTTTAAGGTTTAACTATATAAAATATAAAAATAAATTTAATTTAACGTGTGAGTTCAGAGGCAAAAATTAACTTCACGAATATATATCATTATATTATATTATTTTAATTTGAAAATAATTATGTATTCTACTTTTTTCAATTTCTCTTTTGAATTATGTACAATTAAAAATTTTACTTTATAAATATTTATTTATGTGTTTTATGTTTTTGAATTTTTTTATCAAAAATATATTTTCTGGATAATAACACATCATTTATCTAATAAAATAAGTATTAAATTTGTTTTTATTTTTAGCTGATTTATATATTTTATTCATTAAGGGTATAAACGATATTAACCACTCTAACTTTTAACGTGAGAGCTCCGTTGCGAAAAATCACTTCTCGCAAATAATAGTATAGATTGGATAGCACAACATATGTATAGGAAGATTTACATAAAAATATTTTGATTAAATCTCTTTATACTTTAAATACCTAAACCTTTTTAATTATCCAATTTAATATTTTAACTAATTATTTTGTTTATCTTAATATAATATATTAATTTTAATATAGTACATATTTTAGTAAACCCTTCTTATTTTAATCAAAATATTAATATGTTTAAAACAAAATTTCAAAATCCAAAAAAATCTATAAAAATTCAATTATTTTAAGTTTCAGAAATAAATTAAAAAATCGTGGATAATCTTAAGCTTTTTAATTTGTTAACAAAAAACTTTGAACTTTTTGATTTTAGTTTTTTTAATATTAACTGTTTACGACTTATACTTTTTCACCAAATGCTTGCAAATATTAAGTAAAGATTATTGAATATTTCATCAATTTTTTTTTTCATCAAATGTTTATGACTTACAAAAAATCCACATGGCAATGTACTTCTTAACACGTTAATAACAGAGTTACTTTACCAACTCACTGTACTCATTTCTCTCGCTTCTTCTTCATCTCCAATGGACGAGACCAAATCAAAGACAGAAGAAAAATGCAAACGCCGCACTAAACCTACACCCATTTGCTGTGAAACTGGAGATCACGTTCATTCCCCTCCCACGCGCCCACCCAAACCCACTCCCCCTCCTCCTCACGCGCCATCCCCGACCATCGAATCCCTCCTCCAACTCTCACCCAAGCCCCACTACGGCGAATGCAGGAAGAATCAGGCAGCAAGCACCACCACCACCACCGCCTACGACGGCTGCGGAGAGTTCGTCAGCGCCAATCCCGCCGAAGACTCTTTAAACTGCGCCGCATGCGGCTGCCACCGCACCTTCCACCTCCAGGAACCTCTCTCCGACGGCGCGATCCTCGAAATTCTCAAGATCTCGCCGTTACAGTTCCGCCAGATCTTCTGCTCTCCTTACGGAAACACCGAAGAGAGGATCGTGACGGATCGATCGAACGAGGAGGGAGCGAAGAAGAGGGTGAAGAGGAGGTTCACGGAGGAGCAGAGGGAGAAGATGAGGAGTTACGCGGAGAAGGTTGGGTGGAAAGTGAGCACTGAGAGTAGAGAGAGAGTCAAGGAGTTTTGCGATGGGATTGGAGTGACGAGGAAGAATCTTAGAGTTTGGATGAATAATAATCATAACGGAGTTAACGGACGACGTTTGGATGAGGAGGAGGGGAGAGTGAGGAAGAGGTTTAAGACGAAGTTCACGGCGGAGCAGACGGAGAAAATGAGGCGTTACGCGGAGAAGCTGACGTGGAAAGTTAGGGCTGAGGATAGAGTGGAGACTGAAGGGTTTTGCGGTGAGATTGGAGTTAGTTGGAATAGTTTTATGATTTGGATGAATAATCACAAGGAGGAAAGGGACTGATGGTAAACTACAAGTAGTGTTATGTTTTTTTTTCCTTAGATCATTTCGTTTCAGTGAAGTTCTAATTGTAATGTATGAAAAAAAAAGAGAACGGAGCATGTATTATAAATAACAGCTTCCATCATCCCTTTGATCAGTTTTTTTTGTTTTGTTTTTTGAGGTCTTTGGATTTATTTGGGAGACCACGAAGAAGGCAAGTTTGTTAATCAATATTGTTGGAGCATGGAGGTGGTGAATATCGCGTTGTTTTTTTCTCTGGTTTGGTAAATAAATAGGAAAATAAACTACCAATCACAGTCCAAAGGTTTGGTTACTGGCTAGAAACAACTTATCCATAATTGTCACAAGTAGCAAGCAGATCATTAATAAACCAACATTTAGACACCAAACAGTTTCTCCTATGTGCTTGATGATGCTTCCTTTAGGAGTTTCTCAGTCAGTTCTTTAGGCAAACCCATCACGCTATCTGTTGTCCCAACCTGATATACATCATCAACAACACACCCTTTATTCAGTTAGTATTCATGGTACAAAAGTAATAAAAATGACATAATCGGCTTGTTGCAGAGCTTGCTCGTTTATCCTCAACCCTAGACTCGAATCTAAAGTAAAGTTGTGTTTAGGTTATGACTAAATACAGAAGGCAAAGGAATCCAACCACTTCTTTAACGCATGGCGATATTAGAGGATGTTCGATTAGGAGTGCACCAGCCACCTTAAGCACCATGCCTTCTTCAATCTGCTCTCATCAAGATAGCCCTTATTAACTTTAGTAGAAGCAAGCAAATATTGTTCTGGTAAGGAAGGAAACATCTTACCAGTTTCTCGATGATCTCCTCGGATATTTCGTTGAAATAGATCTGTTAAAGAAATGCAAATCATCAGCAGCATACGTTTAACAAACTGTAAAATCCCAACTCTAATGAAAACGTAAAAAAGTATTCACACCTCGACTCTATCGACGCCTCCTTTTCTGAAACCTGTTTTGAGATTTGTTACAACCACGGAACTGACTGTTGCTGTGTGTCCCTTGGAATAGCCTGTGTGTTTTGAATGAAGCCTTTGAGAATTGTACTTAAAACAAGTAAGGAAGGTCATATGGAGTGAGCTTACTTTACCTCTTATGTATTCCCTTGCTTCTTCCACACTCGAGGGTTTCTCTCTAATGGTATTTTCATAGACAACAACCTTCATAAACCATTAAAATCCAACAAGTCTCTCATAATTTATCCAAGAACCACCAAATACCATTTTATCTCCTATAAAACAACCTAATCAACAAAACTAACTAAAAAATTGTATAGCTTTTTAGACACTCAATTTTTTTATCACTAAGCTAGCCAAAATGGTCGTCCATGATGGCTCGAGAATATCCAAGTAAAATTATCAACAAGTAAGGAAATTGAACATTACTTGGTCACAAGTAACAAGTAAGGCCTCCTTTATGTCGTCGTCATCATCAGGGATCCGCTGCATGATTGCTTCAGCCTGATAAAAACAATCCCACATGTTTATTAAAAGCATCTAAAGAATAAAAGATGCTTTTTTTTTTTTTTTTTGGTTAGCTGCGTATTTATCTAGATCAAGTTTTCGTAGACGAGACAGTTCTCCGAGCACTTCTATCTGACTGTGTCTAATCTATACGGGAGAATATACAACTTATAGAGAAAAGTAATATCAAACACCTTTGATTATATAAAGTAACCTAGTATTAAGATATATCAAATACGCATGAAAGCGTTCCTACATAAACTCTGGCGAAACAAGTTGTAGATGAACTAAAAGGAGGAGATTCAAAACATGTGATATCAGGAAATGCTACACTATTGTATCTTCAAGTTTTGCAAGTTTATAATAAATAAATGAGGGAAACAAGAAACAGCACCATAAGAGATTACGAATCATGAACCATACAACTAACCATTTTTTTTATCTACCAATTAGAAGAAAGCAGATGAAGTGTTTTGGTACCTTTGCCTCAGCTAAAGCTAAAACCAAGTCTTCAGGCTTCTCCTTACGGATGCTTTTCTCGTCAATATCAGCACTCTACAATCAAAAACAGTGAATTTCAATCATTATCTCACCAGAAAAGTGAATGCTTGTTTTTGTTTCAGAGGAGTACCATTAGAGTGAACTGATATCCCATGTCTGTTAATACACTTCTTCGAGCAATCGATGAAGATCCCAAAACCAGCTGCAAAAACACATTTTTAAATGGGAACGAGATAATCAATCAGCAAACTCCAAATTCGCTATTTTTTAGATTTAACAAAAATATATCCCGAGGTCAGCAAAATTCGAAATAGGATGCAGAGAGAGTGCAATTAGAGAATCGAAAGAACCTTGAAGTGAGGACGACTCGATTCCATTTTTTTCTTCTGTCAAGAGCGACCAACGATTTTCGTTTTTGCGGTTTATGGAAATGTTACTCTGTAGTCTGCCCTATAGTTGCAAAACAAGATTAATACTTGCTCAAGGCCCAACACAATATTGGGCCGGGCCTGATGAGCTAAAGAAACTTCAACAAGATGTTTTTGTAAAGGAAAAAAAACATTTAGTGCATTTTGGCAAAACCGGTCTCTCTCTACCAATATAAACCATTTGTATAAATACCACTTGTGGCCGGTTAACAAAATCTTTAAGCTTGTTTTCTTTTTTGAGCCATGGCTGCTCTTCTTATCCCAATTCTCCAACCATTCTTCTCTTCGATCTCTGAACACTCTCAAACACCAGTCTCCACTCTAACCTCCTCCGACCATCCTCCACGCACTGCTCTCTCACGTCGTGACGCCCTCTCACTCTCCTCCGCCTCTCTCCTCCTCTTCTCAACCGATCCCGCATTTGCCTTTGGAATCTGTATACATACACACACATTTTTTTGTATAATATTCGATTAGTCATTTCTTTTATTTAATCCAATTTGGTTGGGGTTTATAACACGGCAGCAGGACCAAAGGAATGGTTGAAAGATCAGAAGAAGAAGTCTTCGAAGTTCTTGTTAGCTCCCATTGATGCTTCTCGTCAAAGCCTTCGCTCTGTTTACCTTTCTCTCTGTACAATCAAATTTACTACTCTCTTCTCTCACTTTCGAATTTATTTAATTTAATTTAATTTATTTTTTTGTAATTAACATTTAAGCAACTAGAGAATCTGATTATACGGACAAAGATTTGGAAAGCCTCCAGAACCTGTTAAGGTCTTCTGCAAGAGATTGTGTTCCTAAAGAGAGAAGCTCTCTTGTCGATTTTCAGTCTAAAACCGGAGTTGAGGTTCTGTCTTTGTTCTCTTTGGTCTCAAAAAGATTATAAAATATTTGTTTTTTTTTAAAGAAAATGAATGCATTTTTTTTAGGTTTGTACATTCAAGCTTGTTTTGAAGAATGCTGCTTCATTACTAGATGATAAGGACCCAGTCATACTAGAAGCAGAGAATGTTCTAAGTGATCTTGTTAGGTAAAATTGCAATTTATTATTAGTAAGATTCTTTTTTAAATGTCTTGTTGTTGATTCCGCTCTTTGATGGCACAGGTCTTTTGGTTCTCTCATTGTGCTGACGAATGGGATTGATATGAACCTTCCTTCTGATAGGTTAGTGTTTCCTCAGTAACCACCTTTCTAAACATGGAAAGTTAAAGATCATATTCCTTTTATGTTAATTATTTTCTTTCATGACACTAAAGACAGTATAATGCTTAAACATGTTTTCAGAAAAAAAATTGCTGATGCAGTTATGGAGTCGATCACTTTTCTTGACAAATTTGAGAAGCGTGTCAAGGACTGCCTTGAGATCTGAGATGAAGTGTCTGTTCTTCTCTTCTTGTAAAGGCAATATGAAATCGTTATGGTTGTTTAGGGGTATCAACATTTTGTTACAATTTGTGAGAGACTCGTTTTATATATAATATAAATCATATTCAAAATGGGAGCTTTTTGTTTATGGGAGAAGATTAGGCGAGGGCATTTTACCCTGACCCGAAGACCCGAATCGGAACCGACCCAAAAATACCCGACCCAAATCTGGTCCGAAAATTTACAAGTATTTATTGGGTCTAAATTTCTTTTACCCGAATAGATTGGGACCCGAAAAAAACTGACCCAAATAGATCCGACCTGATAAGAACTGATTTGTACCCGGGTTATAAACATGTATATCCAAAACTATTATTTTTGTGTTATGTTTTATATATCTATACTATTTTATAATTTAGTTGAAATATCTTTTGTTAACAATAATTATTATTATTTGTAGTATTTTTAAGTAATATAAAGTTTTAAAATGTAAAATTTAGAGTTTAAAAATGTTTTCTTTAATTATTAATAGTTTAATTTAAGTTATTTTATAAAATTTTAGATATATATGAAAAATATTGATTAGATTTGAGTGAGTTTGGACATGTTATGTATTTTTTAGATTCTAAATAATCAGACCCGATCCAGGCCCAATATGGATCCAAAAATTACAGACATTTTACAAGTATTGGAATTATAGATCCGGACCGACCCGGATCCGACAAGACCCAACCCGGAACCAAACCAAAAAATCATAGGTATCCATAGGGATCTAAATTTTCAAGACCCGAAAGCCCTAGACCCGACAAGACCTGACCCGAGGACCCGAATGCCCATGTCTAGGTAAGATACAGTGACTTTGTTTATATCAATGGGTTTCTACAGTAAAATTACAATCTCCTAAAGCATCCTCATTGCTAGGACGAGGAAGAAGCTTCTTAGGATAGTTTATTAATATATGTAGATTAAGAGATGAAGTTAAGATACTTGTGTAAAAGAGAAGATTATTGGTAGATACTTTTTTCGGTTCTTAGTTAAATAGTTATTTTTAGTAAGTTATTTTTGTTGAAAATAAAACATATATCATTAATAAAACATATAACACTAAGAAAATAGAAAACATAAGAAAATAACAAATTTGGAAAAAAATTACAAAGATAAAAAAAAAATTCAAAAAAAAAAAAAGATTACAAATTGCAACAAGCAATTTTTTTATTCAACTCACAGAAACTTAAAGATAAAATGTTAATTTTCAGTTCCAAATTGATCCCATATATTTTCGATCAAATCGGATTTTAATTGTTTATGGACCGGTCTATCCCGAACTCTTGCTCGACGATCAAGTGTATTGAAAAGCTGAATGGGCATCTTGACGCAAAAATATAAATCCTCATCTTGAAACGTGTCATCTTGAGTCCGTGTACGTCGTTCTTCTTCGACAATCATATTATGGAGTATGATACATGCTCTCATAATATTTGCTATCTTCGATTTATCCCATAAATTAGATGGATTTTTAATAACGTGATATGTCGCATATTTACTTAGTCTTAACCTTGCATTCTTGTTCATGTTGAGCATATAGATTAGGTTTAGGCACATTTAGGTTGCATTTTGCATTTATTTGTCTTTATCAGGTGGTGAAACTATCCTTGGAGCCTTGGAAGTGGTTTGGTGGAGTTTGAGCTCCAAAAAGAGGAGTTTGGAGTGAGTATTGCTCGAGGAGAGGCCGGAGCGACGTCCACAGCGAGACCCCTTGGTCGCTCCACATCAGAGCGACACCTGAAGGCCGCTCGCGTTTCCACGCAGAATGAGGCTCGGGAGCGAGGTCCGGGAGCGACCTGGCCAAGCCGCTCCAGCGCCTGGAGCGACCTCTGGGAGCGACACGGCCAGGTCGCTGCGCGTCTTTTATGTGACGAAAAACTTGCTTTGAGGACCTTTTTGCAATTTTTATTTTTTATGTTTTGAGTTTCAGAAACCTAATTAAAAACTACGTTGTAAGCCACCATTAGGGACTTATCTTTTGTTCTTGAAGAAAACTTCTTTTGATTCAAAATTTCATTGCTTTCATCTTGTGTTCTTGTTGATTTCTTGTCTATCTCTTTACATGATTAATCTGAAATCCAATATGGGTTTAAGAGGAATCATGGAGATTAGTGAGTAATCACCTTTTGAATTCATGGGTTAGGGAGATTAAGGGTGATTAGGTTAGATTTAGGAT